TTATCAAAAAAACAAAAAAGTAGCATAATGGGCTATTAATTATATTAAAAAAAAAATGGGCCTCAAAAGAACTAAAACGTTAAAAGGGTTTTATTGTTTCATATGGTCAATGTATAGTATCTAACCATAATCTCTTAGTAGTACATATGAAAATTGAAATGAAAAGAATAGAGAAGACAGCAAAAGAAGAAAGAACATATATAAATGCACTAAGAGATCCACAAATCAGAAAATATTAAAGAAAAAATAAATGAACATCTAAACACCGTACAGATTAAAGGGGAATGCAATGAAGAAAACATCAACAAAAACTGGGAAAAAATAAAGGCTGACTTAATAGAACCTTCAAAAAGTATCTACGCAAAACCAAAGAAAAGAAAAAAGATTGGATGACGGACGAAACACGGCGAAATAATAGCAAAAGAAAATTGGTTAAAAGAAAAATATGATGAAATAGAAATGCTAAAAAATAAACATGACAGCTTAATTTATACAGGAAAATAAAAGATTTAACTAGAAGACCAGAATACAAACAAAATATACTAGTTGATGTAAAGGGAGACACATTAATGGATACAGAAAACGAATTGATGGTATGGACAAACTGTATAGAACAGCTGTTTAACGACAAACGAGACAAAATAGATAACAAATATTTCGTTGAAGAGACTGGACCACAAATAACAGAAAGTAAAGCAAAACACACACTTAAAGAAAGAAAACTGGGAAAGCAGTAGGACCAGACGAAATACCGACAGAAATATTGCAACCTATCGCCGACTGCAATATACCTACATGTTATTGTCAAGTTATTTAATATCATATACAGAACAGGTATATTACCTAAAGAATGGCTTCTATCATCATTCGTGGCTATACCGAAAAAGAAAAACGCCAGACAATGTTGCAATCACCGTACTATCAGTCTAATGTGCCACATACTAAAAGTATTCCTAGATTATTCATCGTGGAATATAAAAAGTTAGAACAAGAACATCATTGGACAAACTCAGTTTGGATTTAGAAATGCTCAAGGAACCACAGAAGCATTATATGCAGTAAATGTGCTAATACAAAGATGTTTAGATGTAAACCAGACATCTATGTCTGCTTCCTAGATTATAACAAGGCATTCGATACAGTAAACATAATCCGTTAATAAAACTATTGAGAACAAAGAACATAGGCACACGGGATATAAGAATAATAAATAATCTGTATTATGAACAAAAAACTGTCATAAGAATAAATAATTTACAAAACTAATAAAATAAACATCGAAAGAGGTGTTAGACAGGGCTGTATCTTGTCGCCATTACTGTTGAATGCATACTCAGAGGAAATATTCAAAAAAGCATTAGAAAATGAAGTAACAGGCATAAAAATAAATGGCCTGCCAATACGTGAAATTAGATATGCTGATGATACAATACTAATAGCAGAAAATATTACAGATCTACAAAGAATTGTAGATAAGGTTGTTGCAGCGAGTGAAGAATTCGGTCTGTCACTAAAGTGTATTTTTATGTACGAGAGAGTAATAAAACAATAAATTATGTATGAAAATCCCTAAACTGTTGATACGGGTGACTCAATGAAAAACAGATATTTGTCAACAAGTTTACAGAAGTATATAGGAAAACAATTTTAAATTGAGTATGACCACCAGGTATAAAGGTTGGAGCAGAATAGAATACAATAGTTGTGAGGGTTACTAATCCCTAAATAAGGTTGCCAGTGTCGGAGTGATGGAGGTTAACAGGTACTAATGAATTTGCAAGAAATGTAAGATGTTTATTTTATTGGTTATATATAACCAATAAAAGTTTAATAAGTACCTACCTATTTGCAAAATAAAGTTTAATTCTTTAGATAAAATAAAACGTTTTATTTTATCTGAAATGAGTCCATTCCACGAAGTAAGGGTTTCAACAATCAAACATTTAATTCTTTAATTCCAGGAAACTACGACAGTAATTGACTAGATAATTACCTTCTAAACTTATTCCACAGAAAATGTGATAGTAGGTTTTTCCATTTTGTAGGAAGGTCCAAGTGGCGTATTCAAAATTCTTAACACTTCACTAAAAGTAGGTACTTCAGTTGCAAGGTGCAGTTTATTGTGTATACTAGTGTTATGGAAAATTTGGAAGTGCCGTGTAAACGCCGAAAAATTGGTCCTTTAACAGTTAATGAAAAAACATTAATATTTAATTGTTTTAAATCATTTACAGACAAACGTTTATGTGAAAGTGTTGATGAGACCGTTGAGTTAGTTAGCAGTACACTTGGTGTTGGGAAATCTACGATTTACAGAGTTATTAAAGAAGAGAAATGTGGTAGTTTTCAAATGCCACGTAATGCTCCAGGGAAACCAAAATTTCAAATAGAATATCATTTTAAAGAAGGACTTCGACGGAAAGTGCATGAAGTCTTCTTTAGACAAGAATTTCCAACATTGGATAAAGTTCTTGTCTCAGTTCGAGATGATAAGGATTACCCAGAAATGAGTCGAAGTACGTTATGGAAACTTTTAAAATAAATAGGCTTCCGCTGGAAAAAGAATCCCAGAAAGTCTATTTTATTAGAAAGAAGCGATATTGTCATATGGAGAAGACATTTTCTAAGAACCATAAAGGAAATGAGAAACCAAAAAAGAAAAATATTTTATCTTGATGAAACATGATCAACGAGGGTCATACATCAAATAAATTTTGGCAGGATGAAACTGTTACAAGTCAAAGGCACGCTTTTGTAAATAACTTATCTACTGGTTTAAACCCACCATCAGGAAAGGGACGCAGGCTGATAATAGTACACATTGGCAGTTCAGACGGTTTTGTTGAAGGTGGTTTATTAACTTTTGAATCAACTCGTACCGGTGACTACCATGAAGACATGAACGCTGATGTCTTTCAAGAATGGTTCGAACAAATGATAGATCTTCTTCCTAAGAACTGTGTAATAGTAATGGATAATGCAAGTTATCACTCCAGACTTATAGAAGGACTGCCCACAACCAAGTGGTTAAAAAAAGACTTGCAGAATTGGCTGAGTTCAAAAAATATTACGTACCATCCCGGATCTATAAGAAAGGAACTTTCTTCGTTGTGTGCCCTTCATAAAGAAAAATTTAAAAAATACGAAATTGATGAAATTGATAAAAATCGTGGAATGACAGTATTTAGATCCCCACCATATCATTGTGAATTAAACCCGATTGAACTGGTATGGGCACAGATAAAGAGTGAAGTTTCAAGAAAAAATACCACTTTTAAAATTCATGATGTTAAACAGTTGTTTTTGGTGGCCGTAAATAATGTAAAACCTGAAAACTGGAAAAAGGCAGTAAATCACACTATTAAAGAAGAGGAAAAAATGTGGAAGCTGAACAATATTACTGATAAAATGATCGAGCCAGTTATTATAAATCTTGGTTCTGAAAGTTCATCTTCTGAATCTGATTTGGATTTGTAAAAAGTAGCTGTAAGTTTTATATTAATATTTTTATTCATCTATTTAACATACCTTAGACGGTTTTAAAAACTCTTTTTCTCTTTTGTAATTTTTAAAAATTAAAAAAAACGTGAATTTTTTAAAACCCTTTTTAATGTAGGCCAGTCAGTTCTAATATAGTGTGTGATAAAAGAGGTCACTTTTGTTTACATACACATAACACTTTATAAAACTGAAATAATTCCTTTATTTTTTACAATTATTCAAAGTAATTTTTCAATTAATCTTGAGCACGCCCATGGAGTGGTCGGAGATACCAGTTAAAATTAGGCTAATTACTCTCTCGTTCATAAAAATAAACTATAGTTATAGAAACTCAATAATGGGAGGTCAATAAAAGGGGTACATTGTATTGATCTCATGAGAATCATAAAAAATGGCAAAAATCGCGTCACGTTTATTTATTTAACGCCTCTATAAAAACTGAGTTCATTTGCTACAAAATACAAAAATTGCATACGAAAGCTGCAATCTTTACCTTTAAAACGCATCTTGATTTTTGTCGATAGGACACTCGAATAAAAAGATATCGAATTTTTACCGTCGAGCTGATACCAATTTTATTGAATTTTGATTTCGCGCGTGTAAGTGATATTAAAAATCTCCGATCGCTTCAATCGTTTTTTCTGAGAGAACAGTTCATTCTACTCAACAATGCTAATAAACGTTTTTGTTCAAAATTAACTTGGCTACATGTTTTGGAGGTTTTAGAGGAAAGTCCGGGAGTAAAAGTGGAAAACTTTTTGAATCTTTTTAGCGTCCTAAAATTGACATTTTCGGCAAAACTCAGCTTGTTCGTATGATTTTTACGGGTTTAGTGGCATTTACGACTCTGAAGACTCATTATTTGAAAAATAATTCCCACAACCTTTTGTTAAATTTATAAATAAAAGTTTCAAATTATACATGGTTAAATAGACAGACAAATTATACAGACAGAAAATTAACAAAAATTTTTAGTAATTTGTTAAATAATTCCTACAACCTTTAGTTAAATTTAAAAATAAATGTGGACCCTATTTATATAAATCAGTTTTGACCCACCCTGTATCACACCAGCTGTTATATCTTGCCTCCAGCATCATAGAACAATCTCAGGGGCTAGTGTTGTTTATGAGGGTTGCATATCTGGTCTGGACCTTTTCCTACATTTTTATTGCTCGCTCGAGCTTAGTCCTTAGTCTGAGTGAAAGTGAGTTAAAATTTGTAAATGCATTCGATCCTCATATAAAAATCATCAGAACAAATTACTTCTTAATTTACCTTCATAATTAATGAGCTATTATTAAGTAATAAGAAAAATATAAATGCACGATAGCGGATAACAGGTGTGAATAATTCGAAGATAGTGCTGTTTGGAATGAATGGAGCATTAAAATACACGAAAAATGAATGTAAAACAAGAGCTATTACACAAGTATACACCGAACGAGGATGAGATAATAGTTATATATATTTAGCAAAAAAATAAAAACAATACTCACAGTTGCGATTTTGAACGTAGACAGCAGGTGCTAGAACACCATTTTTAACAGCAGACACATCTTTTAAATTTTTGCAGAATTTTGTTAGGGTACCGGCCATTATAACCTCACTTTTAGGATGAACTTAATAAAATTTTGTATGATATGGAACTCCGTTTGTCTGCCTCGATACACACACAGTTGAAAAGGTACGATTTGTGCAGGCTATAGAGGGAGGCGGATACCGACGAAAAGCTGGCGATAATGAAATGGAGGGATCATTGTAGCGAGCGGTAGTATACTACGATACGACTACGTTTACACAAGCGTGTTATTCTGAATGGCGCCTGGCATAAAAGATCAATTAAATAAGTTAAAGAGAATGAATGCATTGATTTTTATATGTATCTTATTAGTTTTTTTTGGAATGTATGTACATATATGTTGAACAGAAAAGCATAAACTTCCATTACACCTCAGTAAAGAAATAATAAAAATTTAATTTTTCCAGTACCTGTTGTTTTTAATAGCGTTGTGGAATGTGCAATAATGTGATTTGCTTGTAATTGTTTCTTATTAACAATTAAAAATGTGCAATTAAAATAATTTTTATATCAGTGTTAGGCTAAATCAAAACCGTAAGTCAAAGTCAAAGTATTCCGTAGATGTGAGCATTGAGATATATCAAATTAATTAGAGTGGTTAAAATATTAATTAGAGCTTAGGATAGGATTCATATTATTAGCTTAAAAATATGCACTTAGTCCTAAAATTAATTCCAAATTTAAATAGTACTAAAATCGATTATAAACAAAAAAGCTGCCATTTTAACATTGTTAGAATAGGAAATTTCCGGTGTCAATCACACTCCTGTACATGCACATTTATACAAAATAGACTGATCGTCGCAACACCAGCCTGTTCCCCCAGTGCGACAGGGAAAACTGACTCAAAGCAGTCCCTGTATCTCTTTTTAATTTGCCAGGTTTACCGACCACGTGACTTAAATGACCAATGAGATGATCCCATGTCGAGATTGTATTATGAGGAAAAAAAACCTCATAATACTCTCTCGACATGGTAAGTATATACTCTTACATTTAGTTTACTCTCAATGAACACCAAATTCTGATTTTATATGTATGTTATTTAAAAAACATAAATGATGTATCTCATGCAGATTCGGACTGCATTCTGTCGAGTTATTTGGGACACAATTGGTCTCATTTAGCATAATTAGAGCCGCTTCTTCGATTTTTCTCTTTTTACATCTGTTTCTTTTATTACTATACATGAATCGTTCCATTGAATCCTACGTTCATTTTCCCTTGCGTGTTTACATATCTGAGATGTATACAGTATTGGAAGATTCAAAACGGAACATACGAATTATTAATACAATTATTAAGATCCCCTGACCTGCAATTACCCAGTGTAAATTTCAATATAACGTCGCGATGTCTTATAATTAATTCATTTGTTCGACTGGATTGCTACTCCTTGGCGATTTCTATAGTTTATAGTAGCGTATTCGACAGGTGTACGTCGACACTGTTATCTATCGTCCACTGATTTTCTGTGTTTTTGTGCAGATAATAACAATGTTTTATTAATAACAATTTTTTTGTGTTCATTAGATATTATTTGAATTGGTTAGTGTATAGTTTAATATATTTATTATTCCAAATATTGCTGATAATTTAAAATTTAAAAGGATGTATATGATACATCAAAATCTACAGATTTTTGCCGAAGGTATCTATCGATTTGGCAACAGTCCCAAGGAACATCACTGGCCGAGCAAAATAAATACATGCCCTTTGCTTTGCTTCTCATTATAACGCCATAAGCTGAAATAAAAGTAGTATTTCTAACCATAAACCATGTATACAAACAAAGAAAAAGTACAAATTTTAAAATGGTATTATGGGGGCAACTCGTACCGTGATATTATAAATTTATTTACTTGTGCGTATGAAGATAGACCAAAACCGACACAATCAACTATTAGTCGTATTATTAAGGTGCGCACGTGCGCAGCAGTCGAAAAATATCGACTGGAGAAGGAGTCCAGTCGAACAAATGAATTAATTATAAGACATCGCGACGTTATATTGAAATTTACACTGGGTAATTGCAGGTCAGGGGATCTTAATAATTGTATTAATAATTCGTATGTTCCGTTTTGAATCTTCCAATACTGTATAGGTTCAGAACAATATATTCTTTTAAGATTAAAAATAATTATCAGGTTTCAAGAAATAAATAATACTGACTTGGTTTTCCTCTGAAATATTTATTTTTGTTCCAAAATGTTCTTCTGTTTCGGTTAAAATTTTAATCAAGTTCTTATTTTTTTTTTTTTTTTGATACTACCAAAGTTGCTTCAAAGTCCTGAAAAATGAGACGATCTTGTATTACGACGTAATTCAGTCACAGTTTTGGCTGCATATGGACAGCTGACAATGTTCTCCTTTAACATTGCCCAGATATGAGCATCATACGGGAATGTGATGTGTAGGGAAATCAGTGCCACGAGAAATGATTCATGCTGTCTAAGTTTCTTGCAGCATAAGCACACACTGTCAAACGGTATGGCAGTTCACTTCGTCTTATTGGAACCACTGTCTATTCATCGGAACGTTTCTGGCACAACAAAAGCTTCTTAAATCCTGAATAAATAGCCTGATTTATCTAAATTTATTGTTATTTCTGCGATTTTTACTCTTTTCCTCTGAAATATTTATTTTTGTTCCAAGATGTTCTTATGTTTTGGTTAAGTTCCAATTATTTTCTGATACTTCCAACGATACTACCAAAGTTGCTTCAGAGTCCTGAAAAACGAGACGATCTTGTACTACGACGTAATTCAGTCACAGTTTTCAGTGCATATGGACAGCTGAAAATTGTCTCCTTTAACATTGCCCACATATGAGCTTCGAACGGTGTGAGATCTAGGGAATGTAATGTGTAGGGAAATCAGTTCCACGGAAAATGGTTCATGCTGTCTAAGTTTCTTGCAGCATAACCACACACTGTCAAACGGTATGGCAGATCTCTTCGTCATATTTTAACCACTGTGTATTCATCAAAATGTTCCTGGCACAACAAAAGCTCCTTAATTAATGAATAAATGACCTGATTTATCAACATTTGTTGTAATTTCGTCGACTTTGACTCTTTTCCATTAAAATATTTATTTCTGTTCCAAAATGTTCTTTTTTCGGTTAAAATTTTGGTTAAGTTCCAATTTTTTTCTAATACTACCAACGATACTACCAAAGTTGCTCCAGAGTCCTGAAAAACTAGGCGATCTTGTACTACGACTTAATTCAGTCACAGTTTACGCTGCATGTGGACAGCTGAAAATTTTCTCCTATGTTATTGCCTAGATATGAGCATCAGATGGTGTCAGATCTGGGTAATGTGATGTGTAGGGAAATTAGTCCCACAGGAAACGATTCATGCTGTCTAGGTTTCTTACAACATAACCACAGACTGCCAAACGATATGGCAGATGACTTCGTATTGTTGAAACCACTGTCTATTCATCAGAATGTTTCTGGTACAACAAAAGCTCCTTAATTCCTGAATGAATAGCCTGATTTGTCTAAATTTGTTGTTATTTCTGCGATTTTGACTCTTTTCCTCTGAAATATTTATTTTTGTACCAATGTGTTCTTTTGTTTCGGTTAAAATTTTGGTTAAGTTCCAACTTTTTTCTGATACTACCTATTTTTACAGAATTTATTGCATCGGTATTAAAATCTTCGTTACCTTTTAGCATTTACCTATATTCTCTACGTATATTGTTAAAGGTAAGCGAGAAGCGATCTTTATGGCATATTAAGTAAGACAAACTTACTTAATTTTTTTTTATTACTTCACTTCTATGGGTCTTTAATAATATTCTTAACGTGTAAACGCTTAAACTAAATATTGACATTGACCCCAATCAAATTTCATCTTCATTTAGCAAAGCCCGGAAAAAGTCTACTGATTATAATATATAAATAACATTTAACACACGCTTTGTTAGCAAATAGTGTTTTTATTTGGGGCGATCATAGTTCATTAAAATTTTTATGCCAATAAAGTCGATGTTGTGGAATAAATATTTACCACATATTTATTTAACGGGATCATCCTAAGCGAATGTTGTTAATCTATTACGAAACATTCTGTTATTGATCATAGAGTGAAAACTTTGAACTTCGTTTATTTGCTAAAAACAATTAAAAATTACCAACATCGGGAGGAAATTTTATTCTGGTAATTATTTACCAGATGCGATTATATTTACAAGAAATATTTTATTTTTGTTTTATTTTGATAAAATGTAACTCTTGTTTACCTTTTTAAAATCGTAAGTGTTTGTCATCTAAATATTTTCTGTTCAATTTAAAATTAGTGTTTGAAGAATTTTCATTTAAGATATTTTGTATTTTTTTGTAGTTATACTTTATCTAATTTACTTACCGTTGCACGTTATCCGCGTCATAGTCCGTGAGGTCACGTGATACCAACACGAAATATTTAGGCGGTAGGTCTGTTTGTATAAATGCATGTGTTTGTAATTTGTATAAATGCATTATAAAGCGTTTTTATGAAGAACATTTGTTCGGAACACACTGTAACTGTAATCGAACTAAGGTGATATTTTGGCATAAATATTTAATTAATTTAATAATTATAACATTTTGGCATTATTTGACAGTTGCGGTGTTAAAAAACACTTTTTGTACTTTATTATTTTGAATTTTAAAGTGAATACCTCTTGTTTTATATTTTTACCTATTTAATAAAATCTGTTCTTTTAGAACAAAATTAAGTGTGTTTTATTTCAAAAATGTCACGTAAGAATTTAAATAGTCGTTATAAAAGAGATGGTAAGACTGTTGCAATAATTATGTGACCTATTTGATTTAAAATGGAGTCAGGATTTTTTATACTTTGGCAACTATGTCAACTTCGATCTCTGTCAATGATAATGACGTGCTTCTTCTTCTTTTTGTGCCGCTCCTATCGGAGATTGGAAATCATCAAGGCTAATTCTGACCTTGTTTACGGCTGACCTAAAGAGTTCATTAGTGGTGCAGCCATACCACTCTCTCAAATTCC